AAAAAAAGGCGTTATCCCCCCTATTTCATTATTTCCAAAAAATTTTATCACCAATCGGTAGCAAATTGTTTGAAGATTTTTGCGAGTTAAGAAAAAATCGTCAATGCACTCCTATTATTGGGTAAATTAACAATTCCAATTTCAACTGAAAACCAGAGTTGATAACCAGAGTTTGTAACAGAGATGTCAGACACGATATGAATGTTTTTTTTTGCTCAAATGAAAGAGCGGGTCGAGAAATGGCATGCTAGGACCTCTAAAGACGGTTTTGAACCAGGAGAGACTCCTAGACCCCAATGTTCTATACATACTCCTAGACCCCATTGTCCTCCTAGACAATGATGTCACAACTCTGCTTTTCAATTGAAAACAGATATCATCTTTAGAGACATTTGTCATGTTTAGAGGCTCTAGCACGTCATTTCTCGACCCGCTCTTTCATTTGAGCCCAAAAAAACATTCATATCTTGTCTGACATCGCTGCTACAAACTCGGGTCTACAACTCGGGCTTTCAATTGAAAACCCGAGTTGAAGACCCGATCTCTAAAATTGGAGGCCCTGGACTATTTTTAGCATTTTAAGCGTTTTCGGGCAAACGAACAATGAAAAAAAATTTTTGTTTGCACTAATTGTTCATTTTCAGATCTATATAGTCGATCTTCAACGTATGAAAAATCTCACTCCAATAACCCTCGACTTTTAAAACTCATAGTAGTGACCCCGGAAAATTGGTCAGTGTTTGAATCACTCAGATCCATCACGTCCGCCAACAATTTCAAAAACTAGGGAAAAATGCGCATTCCGGCGCGGCCACCAGGCGGACGATCTAGTTCCTTCCCAGTTCCCACTCCGTCCGCCGCCGGCGCCACCACTCCTCAAATGACGTACTACGCATTTCTACAGTAATCACAGTCAGACCGCGTTTCTGACGACTCGCATCTTCGACAATTTTACGTATTCCGGAGACAAACAATAGTAAAAAAATCATAATAACAAACAAGTGAATTGAGAATTCGAGTGCATAGAGCGCGCGTCCACGTGAAATACGGACCATTACGAGAGTGTTTAGCATTTTTACTCATTTGATAAGGGTGTGGGCCCCATACGACGCTAGGAAACACTGGGTGAGTACATGTTTTACTCCAATATTTCGTAGAAATGAATTCCCCTTCCGCGAAATTCCATTGACGAAAATCGCCGGAAAATACGTGACGCTCTCCGCATACGAAGCAACTGCTCCTAAAAATTCAGGAGGAGTTATTTTACCGGCGAAAAGGGAAATGGGAAAATAATATTCTCGACATTTTAAAAAGTCGGCAAAACGTGCACTCGGCTTTTCCAAGTATTTTCACTCGACTCGTGGAGCGAAAAAATGCAGTATCGGAATTCGAGGAGGAGGGAATCCTTCACGTGGTGCGTGAAACGATAGGAACAATTCATCATTCGAGGGTACACCGACTTTTTGTTTTATTGTCAGATGCACGGGAAAATGTCAGAGTTCAGGGGGTATTAAATTCCGGGATGAGTTTCTCTCGGGGGAATTGCATTCGGATGCCCTTTAAATGTGGCAGGTTTAAATGTCTAGACTGGGGACATCAAACATTCATTGTTGAAGATGATCTGGGTCCATCAATTTTCACACGACAGCAATTGGCTTTTTTTGGGTGAATGTTTAGGTGAATTTTTTAGGGACTTTTTGACACAAATGGATTTTGACACTTTCTGTAGTATCCCAGATTGTTATTATGTGACAGGTTTAATTGTCTAGATTGTGGACGTGACAAATTCATTGTTGACAACGATCTCCATCCATCAATTTTCCCACGAAGTCAGTTGTTTTTTCTCATATGAATCTTCACATGAGATCAATTGTTTTCTCTTGTTTGAATCTTTAGGTGAATTATTAAAAATAAGAAGTGAATTTGACGTTTGGTGATTGGACGATGTGTTCTTGGTGTCGAGAAATGGCTCGAAATATTTTCTGTAGCTGAGGGAATTTCGACAGAAATCTATTTTGACATTTTCTCCTATAAACATTCGTCAATGAGATTATTTCATTTTCCGTATTATCCCAGGCTATAGTAGATTGTGGACACGAAAAATTAATTGTTGAGGATGTCCATCCATCAATTTTCACACGAAATCAATTGTTTTTTTTTGTATGAATGTTTAGGTGAATTAAAGCAAAGTAAAGATAACAAGTGGGTTTGACATTTGGCGATTGAGATGAAATGTCTTCGAATATTTTTTTTGGATGAGGGGATTTTCGACAGAAATTTTTTGACATTTTCTCCTACAAACACTTGTTATTGAGATCATTTCATGTTATCCTAGGCTATTCTTTTGGAGCAGGTTTAAATGTCTAGACAGAAATGTATTTTAACATTTTCTGCTACAAACACTCGTTAATGAGATTATTTCAGTAGTGAAGTGGTAAAACGGTTTACGTCGACTTATCTCCCAGTTGAGTTTTTGAGGAATATTTCCGAATCTAAGGGAGATAACTAAGTTTTCGCAATTACATTTGTTGTAGCTCTCAATCGGCTGTACAAAAAAGTTTGTAACAAAATTTTGCTATCTCCCTTAGACTTCGAAATATTCTATTAAAACTCTTATTAATTATGTACCTGCAAATGCAAAAGAAGTCATTTAATAATTCTTTCACGAGATATACAACGATCAAACAAACATGAGCTACAGCTAATGATGCCTCTGTTAATTTAATCCCCCACCGTCAATATTTGCGATTTTATCGAGAGCTTAGGAATGAGATAAATAACAAACTTCCGCTCTTCCAGTTATCCCTGGATATCTTTACGAGGAACAAAGGGGTGGAAGGGTAAACTTGGCACGATCGGAACGCCGGGGAAGTTTCGTATAAAAAATAATGAGTAATCCCCCCAGCGCACGAACTGTTTGCTCCAACAGTTTCATAGTTACAGAAGAAAAAACAAATTTCTTCGCTCCAACTTGCGACTCCAACTCCGCTGTTTACGTCTCGCGATTAAATGGAGCGGACCGGTCGCTTATATCGAACGAAATCCCAGATTTTCAGGGACTCGAACTGTTCTAAATTCACTTCTACCCCTGATATACTCAAATGTCAAGGATTGCTCCATAACATCAATTTCTTTATTCAAATAAAATGGCAAAGTTGGATATACCGAGAGAAACAATTCTGCCGAATAATTATGGTCCTCTGAAGAGATCTTTTGTCGTGGCAAATCAATTTACTTGTGGACAACAGAGGAATAAATTGATTTCTTATAAAATTCTGAATATGAATAAATTTGCTACGATTTCGAAGAAATCATTTTTTTTAGGAAAATTGATTGTTTATAAATTATTTATAGAAAATTCAAAATTAATAATTTAATTAATTAGTTTATCAATTGATAAAATGAATAATAAAAAAATCAGAATAAGAAATAACAAATTAATTAACAACTACTTTATTAATCAATTTATTGATTTATTTGATTTTAAATTATTTTATCAATCTTCCTCCAAAAGTAGACTTTCTATTTTTTTTAGATTTTTAATGTTTTTTAAAATTAGAGAAAGAAAATTATCAAAATTGAAAAAAAAAATTATAATTAGTTTTTTTAAATTTAAATAATAAAATCATTGTAAAATGTCCGGAAACAGGGTAAAATGGGGCTCAAATGAAAGCTCTGATTTTCGACTATAAAAGTCGCACATCACACTGCAGCATTTCACTGGAGAAAAAATAGCCAATGGGCTTGGATATCCAATCCAAGCACCACACAATCTTGTACAATCTTAAAATTATTTTGTCATTTATTCCAGAATAAATTATGCATCTGAAGAGGAATGCCTTGAGCATTCGAAACGTAGTGCAATTGAATTAGTAAATTTGCAATGAATCATTGCTGCTGACCTGAATATGGCCCAAATTAATGTAAACAATTTCAAAACAAATGGTCAAGAACAACAATTTCCTTTACTTGAAAATCCTTAACTACTCCTGTCCTCCATAATTTCCAGGCAAAAGATGAGATCGTTGCTATGTGCATATCTTCGTAAATATTGAACGGATTAAATTAATAATTGCATCAGTGCAAAGCGGATTGATGATTTATATAGTGTAACTAAGGACAGTTTTCATCTAAGTGGGCACATTTTTTATTAATTGATGGAAAATCAGTTGAGGGTAATGGAAGGGGAAGTTGTGTCGTGTATAGATACTCAGTAGCTCTCGTCATTCTGTCGAGAGGTTATGAGGCGCGACTTGGCCGATACGCTACCGCGTATCTCGATATAAGATCGTCAAAATCAACAATTAGAAAGTTTCCATTCGCAAGCAAAAAAATGACCGAAAATTCCGATTTAGTTTATGAAAAACTGGGGAAATTACTCGGAATAGTGAAACCCTTCGTCGCTGGGGATTATCTCCTCACTTTTCGCCATTTTTCGAAGTGAAAAAGCCTCGTGTGACTTTTTTTTCGGGTCGAGACTCAGAAAAAAAATTGAAATGGGAAACGTTTGAATCGCACGGGGTGAATGGCCCGTCTTTATCCAGTCCTATTGAGGCATTAAAGGTACCACTCTATGTTTTCGGAACCGGTTACACGAAATCCATGGGAAAATGGTTGAATACCGTGGGATCCTTTCGTCTGGGCTAAATCTCTATCCTCGTTTTGTTTTCCAGGAATTCCGGTGTTATCGTTGAATTTGGGGATTCTGATGGTTTTTTCTCATCTTTGGTGGCAAACTGTTTGATATTCCGCTCGAGTCTCGGTGTTTTTCTTTATTGTCCTATTGTTTTTCCAGTGGAATTCACTGCGGGGGTTACCCAACGCGATAATTGAGAATAGAACTGTGGGAATAATCGTTGGAGACAGCTGTTTCACGCGGGTACAAGTGTTTAATTAGGTTTTTCATTTATAGGAATTGGATAATTCAGATAAGATATACTTGCGATAAGGTGAATGTCATAATATCGTGGGTTTTGTCATAAAAATTTTAAGACAGTGGGAAGGATGACGTGATTATTCGTGAAAAATAAAAAAATCAAGTAAAATTTTCTTTGTCGTTGAGACATTTAATTTTTTTTTCTTGCGATAATTGGAAACAAGTGGGAAATTGCTCTTGTCTTCATATGGTAAAGTTATTTTTGCTAATAAATTAGCAATATGCTTCCGAATGGTAATTTTACACATCATTTTTTTCTGTGGTATATAATTCATTGTTTATTTCATGTTATTAAATTGAATGAGATTTATTTGAGGTTTATTTATTTATTTATTTTTTTACCGATTGTCTTTTTTGCGGTCTTATCGCAATTCTTCCGTTTTATTTTGAGGATATTTTCATGATTTTTTCATGACATCTGCCAGATTCAAATTTAAATTTTCACATTTTTTCCATTTTTTTCTAATTAACAAAACAAAATAAAAAAAAATAAAACAAAAAAATTATTATTAGAAATTGTTATTCCTAATTTTATGAGTCTATACGCACCCCCGTAGCGCAATTTGATGGTCAAATTTGAGTTTTTACCTTTTTTTCCATGTTAATTTCCTAATTACACAAACTCAGGAAAAATCTAATGAATAAAGGAAACATATCCCAGTGCAAGTGAGAACAAAGAAATGGGCAGCAACGACAATTAATTAATACCCGGGGTTTTCCTCGATGACAGGCATTCCCAGTGGATAATAGAGTTTCCACACCTTGAAACAGGAAAACACTCGCGACATTGTTTATCCTCTACGGATATGCAACGACTGAGTGAGACGCGCAGTGGTCGTTGTGTCAAAGACGGATGTAGATTGCTGGGATTAATTCCAATGAAAAAAGGGCCTGGGGTGAAATAAAAAGGAGTGAGCCCGGGTTTTTTACTCCAAAGAGAGGCAGCTGAGTAATTTCGTGAGCATGGAAAATAGCGGTTCAAAGACCCCTTTGATATTAAACGAAATTTATATTCATTATTTTTTTGAGGATGAAAAACGGATAGAATGTGCCCAGAGGGATCATGAATAATCGTCAATAAATCGAGAACACAGACTGGATTTTCCAGATTTTTTTTTTTTCATTAAGGGGAGACCGCGGCGAAAAAAAAAGTTACGATGAAAAAATTTATTTATCCGAAGCCGAAGTT